AAGGGAATTCCAACACCCTGAAGCAAGGGTCCCCTCAAAAAGTCAACCTGTGAAGGGCATGAAGCAGTCTTGAAAGGAAGAAAAGGCTGGCTCAGAGCAACAGGCGGACGTAGCAACCCATCAGCATGTCTGAGCCCCAGTCGGCTGCCTGACAAGGAAGGTGTAATCGTATCACTTCTGAGCGCTCGAACATGCTGATCGGGCAATCAGCGTGCTCCTTACGTGAGCTCAGTTTGAAAAGTTAGAAAGCACTGGATAAGCACCTAATTTTAACTTAAGTTATATGCTACAGCATGGCGGGGTGTCTGGGTGGCTCAGTCGGTTGAGCGTCTGACTCTTGGTTCCCGCGCAGGTCATGATCTCACGGTTCATGAGTTCGAGTCCCGCATCGGGCTCTGTGCTGATAGTACACAGCCTGCTTGGGATTCCCTCTCTCTCTCTGTCTCTCTGCCCTCCCCCACCCCGCTCATGCTTTCTCTCTTAAAATAAGTAAATAGACTTTTAAAAAAGAGTTTAAGAAATAAAAATAAGGGGCGCCTGGGTGGCGCAGTCGGTTAGGCGTCCGACTTCAGCCAGGTCACGATCTCGCGGTCCGTGAGTTCGAGCCCCGCGTCGGGCTCTGGGCTGACGGCTCAGAGCCTGGAGCCTGTTTCCGATTCTGTGTCTCCCTCTCTCTCTCTGCCCCTCCCCCATTCATTCTCTGTCTCTCTCTGTCCCAAAAATAAATAAACATTGATTAAAAAATTAAAAAATAAAAAAATAAATAAAAATAAAAATAAGATAAAAATAAGCCACAGCATTACAATGTACTCAGACCTCTAAAGAAAGTAATACAAATACATCTATGCATACACACACAAGCAAACAAACAAAACAAAACCTCAAACACTTGCCTACGTGGCCCCAGAGGTGGACGAAAAACAGAGAGCATGACTCATCTGTTGCCTTGGGAAAGGAAAGTGTTTGTTGCCTTTTACACAGTTAGTCACTGATAAAAATTCACTTTCTTCCTCGACTTGCAGCCTTTGCCCCATAGATTCAGAAGAAAATCCCTGAAGGCAATTCCCAAATAGAGTTTGGACTACAAGTGAGACAATGGGTTGGAAACAAAAATCTGGCCAGAAGCCTGTATTTCTTACAATGTAAATAATGCTGTGATGCCTGTAACTTGGAAAAGTTGTGGTTTTGGAACTTAGAGTTTTTATGGTAGTAACGGAATGAGTGGGCATTTGTTGTAGTAAAAGCCACTAAGTGGTAGATTCTTCCTCAGGAAAATATTGTCCCACGATTAAGAGAAGTATTAGATTGGTCCATATTAATGAATAAGAGTAGTTCTTGAAGTGGCCACATGCAAGAATGCTGAGCGTAGTTTAAAAGTTACCACAGCCTTGATTTTTATTATGTTGGCTTTTCTGTCTCATAATCAGTAAGTGCACTAACCAAACGTACCGAGTGGAGCCGTAACCGCCTTGCTGAATACTGACCATGGATGCCTTGACCTTGCAGTCTGTTGTCCCCTTCTCCCCAGTCCTGACCATGACTGGGGGTGTTCTCAGAGCTCCCTGCTGCGACTCGTCTGGACTCCCTTAACCTGCTGTGGTCTCTGTCCCTGAGAGGCGTAGAGGTGAACACTCAGGGTCACGGCTTCTCTTGGTGCCCGGTATGCTTCCCCGGCCAGGAAGCCAGGAGATGGGCCTCCTGAATCACTTGATTCCCAGTCTGCACTCGCTTCACACTGGGGCAGAGTCTTGACCGGAACTCCAGCCCACCTAGGAACACTTAGGCACTCTGCCTCGTGTTGACCTGTATGAAGAGACCCTACTTGGTATTGAAGGGAATTATAGAGTATTTCCCACTCCATCCATGCCCGTCGCCAAGGCAGGTAAAACCAAAGCAGTGTCACTGTGCTCACGAGTGGAGCTGACGTAGTCACCTGGGCTGGCCGCTGGGAAGGCAGGCATCTGACGGAAAGGTGTGGTCCCAGGCCTCAGCCTGGGGCTTCCTGGGGCTTGTGGGAGGAGAATGACAAGTGTTTAATGCTGAGGATCAGCGGTGAGACTGAGAGGGACTCTAGGACCGGGGCCAAAGGACCAGGTTGAGTCTCGTGGAGGCAGCCACAGAGCTGTGCGGCCGTCTGGTGGGAAGACAAGGCGGTGGAAGTGATGTTGGAATAACAGAAGGGAGATTAAAAGCAGGACCACAGGATGGGGTTGAATAAAGCTCTTGGTCGGGCAGCTATGTGCTGAAATAGTAAAGGGCACAGCTAGGAAATACAATCGAAAACAGATTGTCATGGGTGTTCTGATTCGATGAAGAGTAAACAGGGAAGGTTACCCGCAACGCACCCAGGTCACTGTGACCACTGCTCGGTGGCAGCAGGGAACACGGTGACTGCAGTGAGGGAAGATTCTGGGTCTGAGGAGGTGAGGTCTTGCATTTCTGAGCGCAATGGCGTTCCTCCGTAGGATGGGATGGGCCTAGTGCGGACACGCTCTAGGACCTCGGGTCCCAGAAAGTTGAAGTCGTGGCTCTGGGTAGAGCCTTGAATTGTGCAGAGTTCATTCAACCTGGTGGAGGGAAAAAGAGGAGGGGGAACGGGGCAGGCAAAGGAAAGCTGCACTCACCCATCTGTCCTTATACCATCGCCTGTAGAAACTGCTCTTCGTATGTTTGAGTTGGTGATAAAACTAGTCCCCAAACTTTGCATGCGAACCCGATTTTTGGTCTATTCTTTGCTGCAACTTGCAAATGGGAAATGCCCAAAATTGAGGTATACGCAGGAAATAGGAGATTATAAAAATAGAGTAAGAGACCGGATCTAGCAAGTCGGAATTTGTCGGCATAGAGATAAACATTAAAACTTCATGAATGCCAAAAAGTGGAAAAAAGAAATAATGTTACCAAAGGTCAAGGTTGAACTTGACTCCGAAGGACATGGTCCAGCCCTCGATGTGAAGCGGAGCCCCGACTTCCAGTGTTAGCTTCCAACTTTCTTGCACTTTCTTGGATTATTTGTGTTCCGTAGACATTTCTCTGTGATATTACACTATCTCTGGGTGTAGTATTTTACTTGGGAAATGGATGATAAGAGCAATTTGGAGTGAAGAGTCAAAAAAATGTAAAATTCACATGATAGCAGTAAACCAAATTACTGCCTAGTAGATGGATAAGGAATACAATGATGATTTAAATATGGTTTACTGAAATGAAAAATCATATCATTTTATAAGCCTGACAGCATATCTAATGATAGGATCAAGCAAATATTATTTTCCATGACATCGCTGAATAATTTGGAAACAAGAGACGTGAGTTAAAATTGTCTGGAATATTTAACTCAGAGAGCTTGATCTGACAGATAGAAATACCAAAGTGTCACATGGGAAACCCACCCTTTCTCTCGTTGGTTACCAATATAATTAGAACCTCAGAAAAAAATGTACTGAAATCATTATTTGCCAGCATTCGCTTATGAAAATTTCCAATCAAGGATCCTTTTATCGATATTGCTGAGAGGGGTCATTATCTCTGATTTCACAAGCAAAGCGACCGACCGAGGCATGGGATGGCTTTTTGAAGGTCATAGAGGAAATTGGTGTGATGGTGGACCCTTCGAAATCAACTCACTGGACCAAGTGAGGGCCACCAGGAGCAAAATAGTAGATGAAAACAGATGGTTTAAAAGGCGGTTTTGGTGCTGCCAGGGGTCTGGTGAGTCTTTTTCCACAAAAAGCATTTCTGAACAGATACCCACTTTTAAGACATTTTTATCGGTTTTATTCTGAGTCCTTTTGGAAAACATGCGAATGTAAGTAAATGTATGTTGAAATATCCTCTGTTCTGTTCAAAAATTATTTGCAGAGAAACTCTTTTATACCGAGCTCTGTACTGGAGGTTGGGTTATTAAAAAATAAATAAGAGGGGCCCCTGGCTGGCTCAGTTGGTAGAGTACACAACTCTTGACCTCAGGGTTGTGAGTTCAAGCTCCACATTGGGTGTGGAACCTACTTAAAAAAGCAACAACCACAACAACAAAGGAAATAAGATACCATTCCTGCCTTTGAATAGCCTTTAGTATAGCAGGAAAAGATTGGCATGTGTATAGACTGTTGGATATGTTACAGTGTTGAAAAGGAGGGCCCTGGTGTCCTAACTCCAAGATACCAAGGGTAGGCAGAAGAGAGATTCTGAGGGAATGAGAAAAATCTCCCTAGAAGAAATGATCTCTGAGCCGAGATTTGGGACAGAGCTAGAAATGGGCCAGTCAACAAAGGCATATCCAGTGGGCGTGGGTGTGGGTGTGGGTTTGGTGTGCCAGCCAGTGTGGCCGGAACAGAAGTCATGAAGGGGCACAGGTTGGCACCAGCCAGATGCTGGACGAAACCCTGCAATTACACTCTGAGTATATCCATGCCTCTACTGATTCTGCTACTCATTCATTCTGGGGAGACAGTAAAAGGGTCTGCCAGTGATGCATTGAGGATTTCCTTTCTTTTCCTTTTGACTTTAAAATTGGGGAGTATACCACTTGGTCCCAGGGGAAGAAATGGGGTACTGGCCGAGCCCGTGGGTGGTGACTGCGCATCCGTACGGATGAGCGCGAGGAGTGGGGCCGAGGGGGCGGGAAGCTGAGACGCAGGGTGAGAAATGACAGGAGGTATCACTTGGGTCTGGTCCTCTACACAGAGCCGGGCGGACAAGGACTCCACGCCCGGGTTTTGATGCTCTGAGTCGTCATCTGGACATTAGTAGTAATTTTATCTTGGGATTTGTGTTTTTTAGGTGAAATCTGATGCTTCAGTGGGGTGTGCTCTGAGGTTGGGAGCCTTGGCTCAGGGGAGGTCGAATGTCTGCCCCCCTAGGCTGGGTTCTCGGGTGTCCCCTCCCTACAGCCTGCCACCCTCGGCTCCCTGCCCCCTCCCGCAGCGGCTCCCCCTTCCCACTGAGTGCGCATCTTGACAACAAGGTCCAAATGAAACCCCCACGGCGGGTCAAGAAGGGAAGAGCTTTGCATTTTACTATCACCTTTCACAGCAAGTTCTGCTTTCTGAACAGAGACCCACATGTCCCTTGTGCGTGGGGCCTCACTGACGGTGCACCTGGTGGCGTCGGGGAGTGAGGGCACAGCCGGACAGGAGCTGGGGACACTGGCCAATAGCACGCATGCACAAAGAGCGAATTCTCCACACTCCCAATCTGCAACCTCTGTTGTCTTAGCCCTTGCCCCGGGGTTGCGCTGGATCCTTGCAGGGGAGGAGGTGGGTGAGAACAGGTGAACACAGTGTTGCTTCTCCAGAAAAGCATCTCCCCGAACCTGGCCTTCAGGTCCCCCAGGACCATGGCCGTGAACGGTTCCTTTTGCCTCCAGAAGGCTCTACAACAGCTCAGAGCTCTTCAGTGATTAACGTAACTTGGAGGCCTTCTGTACACCAGACAGCTCCCGTCCTGTCCTCTCTCCCATCCTCTGTGTCGGCCCATGTGAGTCATCAGCATGGCCCTTAGAAGCCCTGAAATAGAATCCAATCCCAGTGTCAAAAGGGCAGGATAATAAAATGACCTCCGAGAGGCCCACCCCGTGTGAATGCAAATCTGCCATTTCAGAATTTCCAGGGAGAAATTCAAGTGCAGAGAATAAAATTTTCTTGCCAGTTAAAGTTCAAGAAAATTAAATCCAAAGGTAAAATATCAAAGGAATTAAATATTGAAATCAGGTGTTCTTACCTTTCACATCAAAGAAATGAAAGTTAAAATCCGTTGTCCTAATCTTCTTATCTGCTAAGCCTTGGCGACAGGGGCCCTGTTGCTTCTGCTGAATAAGGTATGCCTCAGAGTTGTGTTCAATGGAGGCAAGGTCTCAGATGCATTTTAATGTTAAAAGGTACAAGGAGTAATTAGTCTTTTGCGAAAGCTAAGACTTGCCCGGCACAGACACCCCGCAAATAAATCTGGAAAGTAATCCCCAGACACAGGAGCTCAGCCAAGCTCTCATAGCCTCATGTCTGGGGCATTCACAGGGCTTCCTTACAGGGATTTGGGGGGGTGGGGGTGGGGAGAGGAACTGAGTAAAGGAGGTTAACGTGGAATCAAAATTAAATTAATTGATGAATGGAATTAGGATAACTTTACTCTGCGTTATTCAACACACACACACACACACACACACACACACACACACACAAATTACCTGTCTCACCGTCGTCTAATACCCCCAAAAAACACATTTTTACCTTTTTTTCACATTGATTTTATATTATTCCACTTACCTAAGAACTTCTCTGTGTAATCAAAATAATCATTATTGAATAGCAGGGGGGGAAAAATGCCTCGTATATATACGTCTGTCCTGGAAAGAAAGGTTTTCCAGATCCATTATTCACATTGTAGCATAAAATTACTATGGATGCAAGCCTTGTTCGGAAAAAAAGCGACCCCACTTAAAGAAAAAATTGTCTTCTTGGACCTGTCTCATCTGTCGAGGAAAGTGGCATTCTTCCATGTGTCCTTGCCTTCATAACCGCCATCCGATCACGTCTTTAAAGAAGAGGATAGAATTTTAGAAAGAAGACGTCTTCGAGGTAAGCCACACAGGAGCGTCCACCCAAGGTCAGTGACAGACAAATGGCTCGGGAGCGTGTGTTAATGGACTTGGCTCTCAAGACTGAATCCCACTGACCAGCTTTGTGGAAAGACCCCGGAACAGAGTCTGGTCATTTCTGTTATATGGAGGCAATTGAAATGGGATAGAATTAAGATCTTTTCTGGACTATTTGTGAGATTTCCTGACTTTTGAAAAACCTACCTTTTTTTGCTCTCTCCAGAATGAGGTGTGGTAATCCACAGCAACAGACAGCAAAATAAAAAATGAGGGGGGACCTGTTAGAAAGACTTCCAGCGTTTCTTGATTAAGAGGTTGGGGCTCACACAAATGCTACTTTACTCTAAAAACAGAAATGCTGACTCATACCCATTTATCTTAAAATCCGAAAGACACAAAACGGGGAGAAACACTTTGCTTACCATACAGACTGCAACAGAGCTCCACAGATGCGGGTCCTTCAACACACCGGGTTTACTTTCTCTATTTTTTCATTGGGACTGGTGTTTACCATTAGTGGATTATTCAGTCATGCTTTTTGTTTACTTTTAATTTTTTTTAATGTTTATTTATTTTCAAGACAGAGAGAGAGAGAGAGAGAGAGCATGAGCAGGGGAGGGGCAGATAGAGAGGGAGACAGAGTATCTGAAGCAGGCTCCAGGCTCTGAGCTGTCAGCGCAGAGCCTGATGCAGGGCTTCAACCCATGAACCATGAGATCATGACCCAAAGCCAAGTCGGTCACTCAACTGACTGCACTGTCCAGGCACCCCCCATGATGTTTATTCCTAATCTTGGATTACTGTTGGGGTGTGGAAAAAATCAATGGCACGAGTATATCCATCCACATTTGGAACCGACTCAAAGACAGGTGCACGGCTTTGGTAACGGGAGATGAAAAGGCCAACTTGATCACTGCTGGGTTGGGAGACTCGGCTGAGGAGTGGAGCGCCAGGGCTGCCTAACAGTGAACACTAGAACCCGATTCTGACAGCTGAGAGGTCCCCTCCCAGGGGACGAGCTCTCCTGCTAAGCGCACAAAAGCCAAACGCCCCAAAAGAAACTCCCTGGAGACAAGTGGATTGCAGAGAGAGGAGCGAGGGGAGGGAGACTACGTATCCAGATCCTTCTCTCAGGAAACTGCCACCCAGACAGTTACCCCTCCTCCCCCAAGGGGGGGGGGGGGTGACGAGTGTGCCAAGGGGCCAGGCGTGCTTCCTGTGGATGTGCAGCGCCAATGGGGGTGGGGGCTGCCTTGCCTGCTGCTGTCACTTCCTGCCCCTTCCCGGGCCCTCCCTCTACAGGGGTTTGCTCACCTTATCCTCCTGCAGTGATTCTCTGCTGCCAGTACACATGATTATTGCTAATAGGTTCAGAACCATTCATTTATACCCAACCTACCAAATGCCAGCAGGCACTGGACGGCAGGGAAGTGTGACATCGACCAGGAAGCCAGCTTAGAGCAGGTCAACCAGAAAAGAGTACCCACCATTTTTTTTAAGTAAATAAATATTGGCCGTAGCCACTTACCTGAGGTGTGACCTGGGATGAGGAGCCCTCTCTCAGGCGCCAGGGATTCAAGGGTGCAGGTGGATAAACTTCAGTATGTCCAGGTGCTCGGTGGAGAACAGGGCAGCCACTCATTCCACGAGACAGATTTCAGACGTTCATTGGGGAAGGAAAAATAAAATAAACAGTCTTTTAATAGGTCTTGTTGGAATAACAACATCTAGATGCAAAGCTTAGACCACATACCAAAATAAACTCTAGGTGGATTACAGAATGACATGTGGAAAAGCTAAAAATAAATAGATACGGGGTGGGGGGAGGGAACGATGCCTCCAGCCCTGGTGTAACAGAAACAGAGACTGGCATATTGAGAAACTAAAATGGATTTTAAAATTAAAAAACAAAATTTACAGCCAGAATACATTTAGAAACTTACTCCACCAATTTCAACACCAGCATAAATAACAAAATTAAACTAAAAACACGTTGGCAAGCTGGGAAATGGTTTGGCCTGTGTTAGCGCAGGTAAATGTAGCTTATAATAATTTCAGGGCAAAACCACGGAGGATCCAAATGGCACATCTTTATTTTTTTATTTTTTTTTCGACGTTTATTTATTTTTGGGACAGAGAGAGACAGAGCATGAACGGGGGAGGGGCAGAGAGAGAGGGAGACACAGAATCGGAAACAGGCTCCAGGCTCCGAGCCATCAGCCCAGAGCCTGACGCGGGGCTCGAACTCACGTACCGCGAGATCGTGACCTGGCTGAAGTCGGACGCTTAACCGACTGCGCCACCCAGGCGCCCCATATCTTTAAAGGATATAAACAAACATTGAAAATCTTACCGTTGAAACGACTACCAGAGTGAAAGCATATGATGTCTGTCTGTCTCTGACTCGCTTATTTCGTCCAGCATGATACTCTTCAACTCCATCCATGTCATTGCAAATGGCAAAATTTCATTATTTTTTATGGCTGAGTAATATTCGTGTGTGTGCGTGTGTGTGTGTGTGTGTGTGTATACACAACCCCCCCTCCTGGGTCACCCCATTCAGATTCCAAATATAGTCCCTACAAAAGTTATTGGTGTCGGGGCGCCTGGGTGGCCCAGTCGGTTAAGCGTCCGACTTCGGCTCAGGTCATGATCTCGCCGTCTGTGAGTTCGAGCCCTAGGTCGGGCTCTGTGCTGACAGCTCAGAGCCTGGAGCCTGTTTCGGATTCTGTGTCTCCCTCTCTCTCTGACCCTCCCCCATTCATGCTCTGTCTCTCTCTGTCTCAAAAATAAATAAACGTTAAAAAAAAAAGTTATCGGTGTCAAGCATGTTGACCATATAAACCGACCCTCTAACAGGACAGCAATTTGCAGAAAGGGCCACCTCTGAGAGAGGTAAGAGACCCAAGTCACAATGAACTAAAAAGCATAGGAAAAATTAGGAAACCATCTCAGAAATTGTCCGTGGGGAGACTTGATATGGCATTAAATCAGCAACTCCAGAAAAAGCAACCGACCAACGAACACAAACTAGCAAACGCACCTTCCCAACATGGCGGTCAGGCTGAAGCCACAAGCCAGCAGCTGGCATATGTCGTTGTGCCCATAGCAACAGCGTGCGGCAAGCAGGACACGAGCTTGCTCAGGAAACAAGACCAACCGGAAAACTAGTTCAAAAGCCACCATGTGAGTCTTGTGTTTGCATCTTCTCAGAACAAAGATTATTTCATCATCCCCAAGCAGGTCACAGAGGAATCTCTGAGTCTTACTTTTATGACAAATGATACATGATGATTGTATCTAGACACAAACTGTCAGTAGAGCACGTGACTCTTGATCCCAGGGTTGGGGAGCTCCACGTTGGGTATAGAGATCACTGAAAAGC